GGAGGGGGTTGGGCCAGTGAGGGAACAAGGCCGAGCGGGCCAGAAATGAGAGAGGGAGAAAGAGAGGAGTAAATTCATTTTTCCTTTTTCTTAAACATATTTCCAAAGCAAAATCCAAATGCAAATTCAAATCGATTTAGAATTCGACTTCAAACCAAGCAATACAAAATGATATGCAGCGGCATGAATGCACATACATGATTGTGACCTTATATTTGATTTTATTATTTAATAAAACTATTATTTTTCTAAATTCAAATGTCCACAAAAATACGTAATTAATGATTTTCTCCTATTTCAAAATTATGTAAACTTTAGGGTGTTACATGTCTCATATAAAAGAGTGATTTGTTTCAGTGCTAAATAAAGAATTCTCCCATTATTATACTTGACACCACAAACCTTGCTATCAATTTCTGTAATTTGGACTTAAACTGAGTGCCGAACTTTCTATTTTGTGATTTTAATAGCACAGGAGGACTAGTTTTTGGGCTATTGTGATCCCTGGATTAATGTGTACAACTGGTCACTATAGGATATCCCACATTTCCATCCAATATGCAGGCTAGAAAATTAAAATCGCTTCTGGAGACTACATTTGGGTGGGATCTTGAGGACAATGCAGTGAACCTTATTGATGAAGATGATGAGGTAAATCTGGACCGAGATCAAATGATCTATAGCATTTCTCTGTTACACCTTACTGAAACTGTTGTTTCCATATTACCGCAGTTTGCTCCTGTGGTTGTGGAAATGGATGGATCATAGGCTAATGAAGTCAGATTCCATGAAACTTCTACTTATGCAGAGAAGTCAGCAGTTGTTCAGCCTTTCTACTTTGGTCGGTATATTATGTCATGCACAATACTGAGAACTGTTTTACGCTGATCTTGCTGTTAGCATCTTACACCATCTGCTTATGAGTTATGCTCTGCGCTGACTTTTATGAAGTTCTACTGCCTGTACTGACATTGAATATACATGCTAATTACCGACTTGGTTTCCACTTGTCTACTTGTTTAAAGAAGTAGATAATTAAGTAGGCTTGCTTGTTTAGTGATCCTGTGGTATCGTAGATTTTGAAGTGTTTGGCCTTTTAATACATGAAGAGCTTGAACTCTATAGCTGCATCAACAGCAGTGTATCTTGGATCTTGGTAGAGCTATGTACTATGCCCAATTATTTGGCATGTTATTGTAGATTATGCAGAGTATATTATCTCTCTGTATATACCTAATATAATCTATACCTAATATAATAACAATATTGAAGAGTGGAGGCCGTCTTTTTTTTACTTCCTATAGTGCCCTTGTGGCCTTGTGCCTTCCTTGTTCTGTACTTCCATACGTGATCTGGACTTATACGAGATTGAATAGCTAGCATCCAGTGATGGTATGGAGTCGATTTCAAAATGTATTGTGTTTCATGCGACGTACGGACACCTTTGGTTGGAAACTATAAACGCTAGCTAATGCCAGTTTTCTCTGTGAGGCAGCATAAAAGGTTTTGTCAAAAAAAAAAAACGATAGCTAATGCTGGTTTTCCCTCTGTGAGAGCGTAAAAAGGCTCAATGTGTTTTCCCTGTGCAGACGCCAATCGAATCCATTTGTGTCATGCGCTTGATACTGATTCCATCGTGTAAATCGAATGGGAGATACTAGCGTCCGGACATAAACGTGCTTTCAGACGCTCGTGCCTCCTCTGTCACATACGTCTGTGGAAAACGCTGCACCTGCCGCTCTCTCTCTCTCTCTCTCTCTCTCTCTCTCTCTCTCTCTCTCTCTCTCTCTCTCTCTCTCTCTCTCTCTCTCCGAGTCCGAATGCCTGCGCCTCCTTCCTGTGCTCGCCGTTCCTTCTCCCTAAACCCCCTCCTCTCTCTCTCTCCACGCGGGCAAGACTCGGGAGCCGAGATAAGGACGAGCGCGCCTTGTCCGCACGACCCGCACCTCGACCGCTGGCCCCTAGCATGCCCCATCTGTCGGTCCTGGCTCGCCGCGACCCATCCCCTGTGCCGGCCGTGACCCAATCCCCGGTGCCTGTACCATGCCCCATGACTCTCTACCTCTGAAATATGAAACACTTATGCAATATATGTCTGAACCAGATGAAACATTTGGAACATATAGTTGAAACATGTGTGTGAAATATATGCAACATCCAAATAAAACACTTGCAACATGAAAACACTTTTGCAACATAAGACTGAAACGACTAAAACATTCAAACATACTCTTGCAAACATACGTGTGAAACATATGCAACATCCAGATCAAAACGCTTGCAACATACGTTTGAAACAGATAAAACATTTTGAACAAACGCTTGCAATATGCCTCTGAAACACTTGCAACATATGCAGCATCCCGATCTACTTTTACAACATTCATATGAAACACTTTCAACATACCTATGAAACACTTGAACATACATTTCCACCAGCATGGGCGCACTCATGGGTGCCCTTGGCTCGACCAGACCGAAGAAGCGCAGCGGCAACAACACCAACACCGATGAGGGGTGGGCAACGCGCTGACAGCGCAAAGGGAGCGAGTGGTCCGACCAGCAGAGTTGGACACGTCGACGGGCAAGAGAGAGAGTAGAGCGGCACAGTGGTGGGCGTGCGCGACGACAAGCACTAGACTAGCAGAGAGGTGGCGGCGGCGCCCGATGCGCGCACTACCAGAATCCTTAAATTTGCCGAGTGTTTTTATGTTTACCGAGTGTATTTCCTCGGGCACTTGGCAAACAAGTTCTTTGCCGACTGCTGCGCTAAAAACACTCGGCAAAAAAAACACTCGGCAAAGAGGAGGTTTGCCGAGTGTCAAAAAAAACACACGGCAAAGAGGGGGTTTGCCGAGTGTTTTCTCTTTTGCACTCGGCAAAGAAGTAAAATCTTTTTTCTAGGAAAGAAAGAGAAGAAAAAAAAATAAAAAAAAACTTTGCCTTCGTGCCCAGATCTAGGACACTCGGCAAAGAAGTAAAATCTTTTTTCTAGAAAAGAAGGAGAAGAAAAAAATAAAATAAAAACTTTGTCGAGTGCCCAGATCTAGGACACTCGGCAAAGAAGTAAAATCTTTTTTCTGAAAAAGAAGGAGAAGAAAAAAAATGAAAAAAAACTTTGCGAGTGCCCAGATCAAAGACACTCGGCAAAGCAAAAAAATGTAGAAAAAAAAACACCCGCGCCCCTAAAATCCCACCCTCCCCTCCCTAGCCCCACTCCTCCCGCACTCGCTCCCTCCCTCCCTCCCCTTGTTCTTCCCTATCCTCACTGAGCCGCCCCTCTCCCTCCCGTCTCCCCCTGCCGTGCCGCACCTCTCCCTCCTGAGCCGCCCATCTCCCTCCCGATCCGCACCTCTCCCTCCCGTCTCTCCCTCACTACGATGGTCCCTCTCCCTCCCTCAGCGTCTCTCCCTCCTCTCTCTCTCCTCCCTCCGGCAAAGCTGGGCGCGGGCGGGCGGCCCCGACATGGACGGGGCAGGGTCTCGGCGGCAGCAGGCCGCGCGTCTCGTGGTGGGCAGCCCTAGCGGCGTCGCTCCCCACAGGCGGCGGCGCCGATCGCAACTTCGAGCAAGAAGGCGTGGAGTTCGACGGAGGGCGGCCGGATCTCAGCGGTGGGCCGCTCTCCCTTCCCCTCCACCTCCAAATCCGACGGTGGGGGTCTCGATCCAGCAGCAGGAGGTCGGATCCCGGCACCGGGTGTCTCGATCAAGCAGTGGGAGGCGAGATCCCGGCGGCGGGTGTCTCGATCCGGCGCCGAGGGCGGATCTGCCCTCCTCCCTCCTCCTTCTTCTTCCCGCTAGATCCGGCCCCTCCTTCTTCCCAGGCGTGAAAGGGCGGCGGCAGGCGTGGATGGTGGCAGCGGGCGTGGATGGTGGTGGCGGCGGCGGTGCTGGTGGTGCAGGCGTGGTGTCGGCGTGCCTTTTTTATTTTTGAAAAAAAAGTTTGCCGAGTGTTTTTTTTTGCACTCGGCAACGTCTTTGCCGAGTGTCCGACAAAAAACACTCGGCAAACTAGTGTTTGCCGTTAAAGGGTTTGCCGAGTGTAACTCGGCAAACCCTTTGCCGAGTGTTTTTTGGGCTTCGCCGAGTGCCCCTGGCACTCGGCAAAGCTCCTGTATCCGGTAGTGGCGGGAGCGAGTGGCCCGACCAGCAGAGGTGGGCACACGCAAGGGGCAGGAGATAGGAGCGAGCGGCGTAGGCGGGGCGCGCGCGGCTGGGGAAGAGACGGTAGCAGTGAGGTGGAGTAGGGCGCACGGCGTCCGCCCGGAGTAGCATTACCTAAATTGAATTAATCAGATTGTGACTATGCATAATATTCTGATCTTACCAGTTCATCCCGACAACACACCGGTTGACGGGTCCATCAAAAAATAAAAAATCTAAGCTCTTTTTTTTCAGAAAGGTTCTGAGTTTTTTTTTTCCAATAGTAGAATTGAAAGAAAGGTGTGGGCACCCACATCTCCCGTAGTCCTGCTCTGTTCTTTGATTCGCCCCTCAGCTCATAAAAAGAACGTGATTCATCTTCACATCTTGCAGTTTTCTTAGCAGTAAAATGGAGTAACCTTTAATTCTGGCACTTGAGCTAGGTAGCCATCAACTGCTCAGTCACAACGATTAGCAGATCACCAAGAATCGTCGCTTCAATGGTCCTGGTGAGCACACTTTACTTGCATTAGACACCACATAAACATGATAGTCTAAAGAAAACCAGACACAGAAAGTATTGAATTATGTAGGTTGTGTACATACATCGAAAGGTGCCGATCGAAGCCGGAATTGTTTCTGATCCGGTCATTGTTCCAGGGCCAAATGCGACGTGAACTTGTTTTTGCTTTCGTCGTGGTCTGTTCCACACAAAACTACGGCAACGAAACAGGTTACAGGTCTATTAATGTATTTCCCGCGTCATTTTAAAATTGTCACGTTCACTTGGCATACCTCAACAACCTTTACCTGGACAATGCATCACCATCATCACTACAAGAACAGAGGAGGGAGGCGATGTCGTTAGGACCTGTGGCACGGGGAGCCATCTGCTTGCTAGCTGCGTCAATCATCGTCATTAGCACGGTCAATCTCTGTTGCGATGGCAGCAGGTCCGCCGATGATCTCTCACTTGACGACTACGGCGAGGACGACAACGGTGACTCATCCTCCTTCTCCTTCACCTTCCGGACGGAGACGAGTTCACCCGGTCTGGTCTTCGGGTTCTACGACGACAAGTGCCCGGACGCCGAGGAGATCATCTCGTCCACGGTGCGGAAGCTCTACCACGCGGACCCCAACGTCGCCGCCGCGCTCGTCCGTCTCTTCTTCCACGACTGCTTCATCCACGTACGTCGAAACAAACAAACTCCATGTCGTCTTGCATCTCATCTCATCTTCCCTGCGACGCTCACACGCGCACACACCAAGACGCTGTCTTCTCCTGTACGAGCGTACGTGCAGGGCTGCGACGCCTCGGTGCTGCTGGACCGCGTCGACGGCCGGAAATCAGAGCGCGACGCCGGGCCGAACCAGTCGGTGCGAGGCATGGGCGCCGTCGAGGCCATCAAACAGAGAGTGGAGAAGGCGTGCCCGGGGACCGTCTCCTGCGCGGACATCCTGGCCCTCGCCGCGCGGGACAGCCTCGTCCTTGTCGGCGGCCAACCTACCCGGTGCTCACGGGCCGCCGCCACAGCGCGCAGAGCTTCTACCACGACGTCGTGACCGGGAGCATCCCGCCGCCGAACGCCACCTACGCCATGACGCTCGCCGCGTTCGCGCGCCGCGGGCAGTTCACGGAGCGTGAGACCGTCGCGCTCTTAGGTTCGTTCGTCGTCGATCTCAACCTTGCCTGCCCGATTTTGAGCTGCTGGCTGAACTCCCTGTGATGCAAAAACCAGTCTTGCTATCTGCAGGAGCCCACAGCATCGGGAAGGTGCGGTGCAGGTTCTTCGCGGACAGGATCTACGACTTCGCCGGCACCGGTGCGCCCGAAGACTCCATCGACCCGGACATGGTCGGCGAGATGCGCGCGGTGTGCGACGGCGGCGGCGGCGGCGGCGATGGCGATGGCGACGACGGCGCGGCGCCGATGGAGATGGGGTACTACAGGCAGGGCCGAGAGGTGGGCTTCGGCGCGCACTACTACGCCAAGCTGCTGGAGGGCCGGGGCATCCTGCGCGCCGACCAGCAGCTCACCGCGGGGAGCACCGTGCGGTGGGTGCGCGTGTACGCGTCCGAAGCGCGCGGCGAGGAGGTGTTCCGCGAGGACTTTGCGCATGCCATGGTTAAGCTGTCGGCGCTCGCGCCGCTCACGGGGTCGGCCGGGCAGGTACGGATTAGCTGCTCCAAGCCCATCCAAGACAACTGAACCATAACAAAGGGGGTAGTGTTTATGCATGACACTTTTATGGTGGCAGTGTATCAGAATTTGTACATCTTTCTTTAGGAGAAATATAACTTTTTAAATTTAGCGAAACATATAAAATACTAATATTTATGATACATAATACTCCTTCCATATTAAAAAATAAAGTCGTTTTGGACAGCGACACGGTCTCCAAAGCATAACTTTGACTACTTATTTTTATAAAGATATTTATCAAAAAGTGATATATGTAAATTTTTGTGAAAGTATTTTTCAAGACAAATCTATACATATGGTTTTCATATTTTTAAACTCAACAACTTAAAAGTTGTTCATGATTTATATTCTCAATGTTTAATCCAAGTCTTGTCCAAAACGACTTCATTTTTTAAGTATGGAGAGAGTAAATATTATTAGATTAATATTTGAATGTATTTTATAATAAATATATTAGAAGATATAGATGTTGATAATATTTTCTATAAATCTTGTTAAATCTAAAAAATAACTTTAAAAAAAACAAGATGTGCAGTTATTTTATAAACAGACGAGGCTACGGTATATGGTAATCTTTTCCTTCTGAACGGTGTTCTTTTAGAAAATCGAAATACTACTACTTATGGTGGCATGATTGATTATCAATACATAATAAATATTATTAGATTAATATTTGAATGTATTTTATAATAAATATATTAGAAGATACTTATGTTGATAATATTTTCTATAAATCTTGTTAAATCTAAAAATGACTTTTTTTTAAAAAAAACAAGATGTGCAGTTATTTTATAAACAGACGAGGCTACGGTATATGGTAATCTTTTCCTTCTGAACGGTGTTCTTTTAGAAAATCGAAATACTACTTTATGGTGGCATGATTGACTATCATCTAACACGAGTAGGGATGAAAACGGTACAGATATTTTCCAACCGTATTCGAGACCGAATCCGTTTAGATGGGTTCAGATATATCCGTATCCGAGTCCGAGTACGGATATTCAACATCCGATATCGTATCCATATCCGAATACTCAAATCGCATATTTATGATGTCGATATCCAATCGTATCCTATCCGGCATGGTTGACACTATCCGTATTCGTATCCGAATCCGGACATAAATGTGAAAATAAATGTAATATCAGTGATATCCATCCGTATCCGATCCGTTTTCATTCCTAAACACGATTGTACTGGGACAATCCAAAAATGGTATGGCTAACGCCCGTATGTTCGGACAGACGTCCGCGTCCGGACGCCGGTGCCTGCTGCTCATTTCACGCGAGTCCGCACGCACGCGCGAACCCGCGCCCCCTCCGCGCCTCCCATTCGGATACCTGCGACGCCCGCACTCCCTCCACTTCCCTGCCAGCACCCTCTCCGCTTCCTGCACTCGTGGTGCCATCTCCATCGATTGCGATGTCCCAGGAGGCCAGGCGGCGGAGCTGCTGGTTGCTGGTTACCATGACAGGGCACGCCGTGGCGCTGGTCAGGGAGTTTGCGGATAAGGACAAGGTGGTGGCTAGTCATTGGCGTCATTGCAACATGTGTAACACTAATCTAGTTTTGAAATATCCAGATGAAATATTTACAACATGCGTTTGAAGACAGATAAAACACTTGAAATATGCGTGTGTAGCCCATTGCAACTGTGCAAACACCAAGATCTACTTTTGAAACATCCAGATGAAACATTTGCAACATACTCCATCTGTCCTGTAATATAGTGCATTTTAGGAATTTTAAGACAAATTAAGAAAGAACATAAAAGACGCATGTATCCTTATTTTATTTTCTAATCAGACGTTATCATCAACGTGATTAATGGTGATTGGTTGATAAATAGAAAGTATTTAATGCAAAACTGATTTTTGTCCTCTAGAATGTATTATATTTAAGGACAAATTTTTAATGAGTACGTCTAAAGACAGATGATACACTTGAAACATGCGTGTAGAGCCCATTGCAATAGGTGCAACACCAACATCTACTTTTAAAACATCCAGATGAAACATATGCAACATACGTCTGAAAAATCTGAAACATTTGAAACATAGGCTTGCAACATGCGTATTTTGTCATTGCAATATATGCAACATCTGAGATTTACTTTTGCAACACCGAGATGAAACACAAGAAACAAAAGACTGAAACGTCTGAAACACAGCGTTCATCCGCACGGCCATGGCCTGCCTGGGAGGAGGACTACAGTAGCCAACACAAGCTCGGATCAGGGGACGTCAAGAACAACGGCTAGCATACACCTCTGCTACAGGACTTTGCTTCCTAGCCCATCCAAGACAACTGAACCCGAAGGGGGTAGTGTCTATGTATATAGATGTAATCTTATGATTGACTCTTAGGGCCTGTTTGGATCCTTAGAATTGAATTCATTATAATAATTATAATTTAGGCACAAATTAATTAAGCTAATATGATTATATATGAAATATATTTGTATATTATTGTTAGTCATATAAAGAAGATACTTCTATATTACATTTCTACTATAGGGAAGCTAAGTTGAAGACCGTGATATAAGTTGAAGAATAGAAATATAGCATGGTGATCTACAGAATCAAATTTTATCTCACACCCTATGAATTTGAGATAGGCTTATATGTGAACTTGAGAAAGTTATGGAATGTCAAATTCTAAACCAAATAATTTAATTTATTGAGTAGATTCCAATTCCTCCAAAATAAAAGGACGTAAACGACCCTTTAGGCACATCACTAACTGTGTGTGCTCCTATGTTCAATAACGGTGAATGTACATACATACATACCAGGGGCTTCTTACCTAGAGGCCCATTAGAAATCTCATGGACCATTATCCTATTTTGTCCCATGCATAGATCTAATCTTATGATTGGCCCATGAAGTCTAAACATCTAAACAAAATTTTATTTAGTCACAAGGATTAGAAGAAAGAAGGAAATAATTCTCAAAAAAAAGAAGAAAGAAGGAAATAACAGCTACTCTTGCGAATTATTTTGATCGGTATATGTTGATCGGTGTGGAATTCCACGCTCAGATCTGGTCTGTTCTGGGCCACTGCACTTCGCTGCTGGGCTGGTCGTCCTATTTCCTGGAAGTTTTTGGACGCCCTAAGTCCTGTTCCAAGTAGTCATTTCGTGCAAGGGCAAAATTAGATTAAGATAGTTCCATCTGGTTTCATGGGGACATGCCACCAATTAACGATATATATGTCAGTGCGTAAACATCCAACTGTGTGTTTATGCAATACCCTTTTGCTACTAACTTCGTCTCATCCTAAATTTATACAATGGTCCTAGATTCACACAGTTGGATGCTTACACATGGACGGGCCTAACATTATTCAAGGTCAACTCAATACCTATTATTTTTGTCAAAAAATATTTATAATATTGTATATACATGCATGTGTATTAGAAAAAACAAAAGAAGAGCTAGAATAATAGGGTATTCATGAATTATTAAGCCCAAAACAGTACCTTACGGTACTCTCCCTTCCATTCCCACCGCCCAACAAGTCTCACTAGAGCAATTTCACCCGTAGAGAAACGACTTTTGATCCATTTTGAAATTTGGCTTTAGTCCCAGTATTTTTCACGCTCGGGACTAGAGAAACCTTTAGTCCTGGTTGGTAGCTCCAACCGGGAGTAAAAGTGGGCTACTGCGGTAGGCTTTTGCTGCAGGGGACCTTTAGTCCCGGTTGGAGCTACCAACCGGGACTAAAGGTTAACTTTTACTCCCGATTGGTCTCTTCAACCAGGAGTAAAAGTCTACTCCTGGCTGGAAGCTCCGTCCGGGACTAGAAATGGACCTTTAGTCCCGGTTGTTGTCTCCAACCGGGATAAAGGTCCCCTCCTATGTACCCCTTCTTCCTCCCCGCCTCCGATCCAACCAAGCACCGTAGTTTCCGGATCCTTGCGTTTCTGACTCCGATCCAACCCAGCACCGCGCCGCGCCGCGCGAGCACGTCGGGCGCCGGTGTGGCAGGCGAGATCCGAGAGCTCTCCTCCCCCGCGCCCCCGCAACCGCATGGCCACCGCTGGCCGCAGATAGAGAGGCGCGGGCGAGGGCGTGCAGATCCAGATCCGGTGGGCGGCGAGGACGAGATCGCCCCCCACCACCATGGCGGGCGCCGTGTCGGCGCTCTTCCTGCTGGACATCAAGGGCCGCGTCCTCGTCTGGCGCGACTATCGCGGCGATGTCTCTGCGCTCCAGGCCGAGCGCTTCTTCACCAAGCTCCTCGACAAGGAGGTAAGTGGCCGATCGGCCTTCTCACCTTGCCTGTTGTCTACTCCTGAGATCCATGCGACGCTGGTGCTGACTTCTCGTGGAATGGGTAGGACGACTCGGAAGTGCACTCGCCTGTGGTCTACGACGCCGCCGGCGTCACGTACATGTTCATCCAGCACAACAATGTCTTCCTCCTCACAGCCGCTCGCCAGAACTGCAACTTTGTCGTTGTGGTAAGCAAATTTCCAAGTACTTCTGTTTGATGTGCTGTTACTGGGACTTGACAGAATGGGGCACCCATTTTGTGCTTACAGTATGAGTTGCTTGATGAGATGATGGATTTTGGGTACCCACAATACACAGAGGCGAAGATCTTGAGTGAGTTCATCAAGACAGGTTTGGTTCTTTAGTCGCTCCTAAAATTCATGTCACATCGAATGTTTAGATACTAATAAAGAGCATTAAATATAGATTAGTTACAAAACCAATTATATAGATAGAGGCTAATTTGCGAGACGATTTTTTAAGCCTAATTAATCTGTCATTAACACATGTTTACTGTAACACCACGTTGTCAAATCATGGACTAATTAGGCTTAAAAGATTCGTCTCGCAAATTAGTCACAAGTTGTGTAATTAGTTTCGTAATTAATATATATTTAATACTCCATACATGTGTCTAAATATTCGATGTGACAGAAATTTTAGGAGGCCCTGTAGTAACCAAACACCCCCTCCGTTTGGTAATACCAACCGGGACTAAAGGGCCGGCCC